ACTTATGTGACTACCCAATGATTATCAATAACCATGTTATCATCAAAACAACATTAATTAATGGTAAGCCTACTTTTTGTCAGAGAAAACGAGGTTCACTTCAATCAAGCCTCTCTCTTTTACACACACTGCCCTCTAATGGACACGCACATGAAAAACAGCTTATTACCCATTCACAGCTGTACGAGTACACACACACACACATACACACACACACACACACACACACACACACACACACACACACACACACACACACAGAGAAGTTAATCACATATGCATATCACCTGATGATCCTCTGCTGGCGTCTGACAGTGCAGTGATGTCACCACTGCCTCTGAGTGCTCCTGCTCCACTTCAGTTGTTTAGTTGCTACATCACCTCACTACATCACACTCGCACTGTGATTCGCTGATGCATGACCAATCAGAGCACTCTCTTCAGCTGATGCTGATTCCACATGCTAATCCGACCAATCAGCTCTGAAGATAACCCAAAGTTAACCGGCCAACAGCCGAACATCAGCTTGGTGTGTCCTGACCCTTAAACACACACACACACACACACACGCACGCACATGCACGCACACACTCCTGTACCTGGTCTTTCTCAGGATAGACTCCCGCTCTGAGGAAAGAGGCCTTCCAGCTGTCCACATCCTCCTGAGTGGCGCAGGCCAGCTCGATCTGACGCAGGTCTTTATACACGTTCCTGAAACAACACGCGCACACACACACACACACACACACACACACACACACACAAATATTAATATTTTTATTAGATTAAATATAAATTAAAATGAACTATTGTCTATGGCTTTATACTGGAAACAGCCCAGCAGCATCGCCTTCATCTGTGCTTTAAATGCAAACACTGGACTGAATAAAACACACAAACACACACACACACACACACACACACACACACACACACACACACACACACACACCTCTGCTCGGTGTTGAAGATGCCGAAGGTGTGTTTGTTGCTCATGAAGCTCTTCTCCACATCCCGCAGCTTCAGGTTATCCAGCGGCAGCATGAACTTCTTCTCCTTCTCCTGGAAACACGAGCGCAGGTGTGATTTCATCAGTCACACACACACACACACGCTCGCTCACACACACACACCTCCTCATCCTTGTACCAGGACAGAGACTCCGCCGTCAGCACGAACCAGTAGTCTTTGGACCCGCCCTTCATGATGCTGATGTTGATGGTCAGCCAACCACGGCGGATCACCTGAGCAGAGGGGGCGGGGATATGTTAATGCGCAGGAGGAACAGGCTAATCAGAGGAGGCGGAGTTTGAGAGTTTGAGTGGACGCTGACGTACCTGATTGGGAACAGCTCGCTTCTTAGTGACGGCAGCACTTCTCTGCTGCGCACTGAAACACACACACACACACACACACACACACACACACACACACACACACACACACACACACACACACACACGCGCACACATACACACACACACACAAAATTAACCTAATCCACACAAATGCACAGCTCATGCAGATGCACAAACAGACATATAACACACGTGTGCAGGCAGACACAAACACACATA